TTCGGATGACCTATGATTGTTGTCGCTAAGCCTTATGGAACGGGAAATAAGAGTGTGATAACCGAATTGAGTTGGGCGAGGTGATGATGTGACTGGGCATTGAGATAACGATTTGTATGAGTGAATTTCCGGTACACGGAATAGGAAAAACTGTGAGGTGGGTTTTTCTATATAAGAACATCAAGGAATGGCAAAGACGCTTCAGACTCAACTTCCATCGTGAATTGAATGCTGGGATGTATTCCATTCAGGTGGGAGAGAAAGTGATCAAATATATCGTCGGCTTACTTGTAAAACCTTCTAAGTCCAATTTTCAAAACTTTTCAGGAGAAGCAAAAAACTGCTACCACCGTTATTATGGGACCCTGTCTTATAAAATTTTGTTAAACACCACTAAAATGTAATTTTAGTTAAATCAGTAATCCAGTATATAAATATTTGATTATTTAGGCATTAAAAGAGGACTTACGTGCTTTTCATTTATTTATTCGGGACAAAATAAGACTTACAAGGTACATAAGAGTCGATATTTACTTTAAATATAATTAGTTTGTTGGACAACCGCTGTATTTAAAAAATATATTGCACAAAAAATCAAATTTCTCATATGAAATATTTGTCTAATAGATATTAACCATAGATATATGAATTGAAAAAAAATAATAGTGAAACAAATAAAGTTAACAAGTTAGTAAACTATCATAAAATGTATGAAAGTCTTTTGGTATCACGGATTTTAATTCTTGTAAGTGATTATATTTTTGTAATTTTATTTTTAATGGGCCATTGTATAAAGGAGACGGAATAGCACCAATCTTGCTTTTATTGCAACGTCTGGGAAGTAAAGTCCAGGGCATTTTGTAGTCTACTTTGTATTCAAGACTTAGGTCTGGATTGTACTTTATACATCTGAGGTCATGGACAGTTGGGTCTCCAGATTGATTTCCAGGTCTTATTGAACTATAAAAGTTAAAATTGGAAAAATTTTTCCAGAATGTATGATCAAGGTACAGTACTTCATATGGTTTAGGAGTGAGTCTTGCAGTTTTTAAAAGGTCGACGTAGCATCCTGGTGTATAAATTTCACGATTTCTGAGTTTTCGTTCAATTGTGGAGTGCATTGAATCGCACTCCATTTGTGTATGACCTTTTTCAAGGTACTTATGAACCACCACAATTTTTTTTTCATTAGCCACAGACAAAAGTGCGTTTGATAAAATATTATTTCGATTCTGGTAGCCGCAACCATCACTGTAAAATATTATTTCATCATTATCCTGAAGAGTTGGTATCTTATTAAGGATAAAATAAGAAATTATTGTAGAGAATTCGTTCGCGGACAGTCCACCTTCTCCCTCGTGCCACACAAAACAATAACCATCTTTGTTTTTGAGATCAAATATGGTAAAATTGTGGACTATCAATTTAGTCTTATAGTAAAGCGCTGAAGCTTTTAAATTCGGTGCAAGAAGTACACTCTGTAAATCCATGGTATATACAAATTTACCCTGCTCCTTGTCTTTGGACTTTTCTGCCCTAGCATTTTCTTTATTTTCTATGTGTCTTTTATAAGCATCCTCTGATACATTTTTAACCCTAAATCCCACACAGAGGTCACATTGGTCTTTTTTGGGCTGGTGTATGCTAAGATTCATCTTTTCGAATTCCTCCATAAATGTTTTAACTGATAGGGATTTTTCATTACACTTATTTTCATATTCTCGGAATACTTCCATCTTTGATCTCCATACGGGTTCTAGGTATATTTTCGTAGTAGATGATCTACAATAATGCGACTCGAGCTTTGGCAGACTTATTAGAAAGGAACGCAAAATATTCCTAGGAGAGTCATCCTTTGTTTCCGGAGATATTTTAGACCTTTTCAGATTTTGTGAAGAGGTATCACCGGGTGTTGCGTGAGTATCCTCTGTATTTATATTTGGATCATTTATTTCTTTAACCCATTCAGACACAGTCCATTGTCCAACGCATAACGTATGTAGAAACATTGTTTTGCAAACTCTATGTAATTCGTCACATGAATTTTTCAGATGAAAATATAGTGATCGGCCTCTTCTAGAGACTTCGTTGATTTGATGTTTTTTATCTTGAGCTGCACCAACTCGGACTAACATTTGTACCATGGTTTTTTTCTCTCCCCATGTCTTTTTCCAAAATTCGGAAAATATTTTTTCTCTTTGCTGTTCGCTGAACAACCTACATTTTAACAATGCAGTTTTCTTTGCACTAAGTTTGCAATTACATGACGGTTTTATACTTCTTTCTGGTTTGTCAACATCAAAAACATTTTTGCCGTCCATCTTTCTTCTACCGAGATATTTTTCACCGTGTTCCCTTTTTTGTTTATTTTGAAATTGGACCCATTGTGAAATATCAGCTTTTCTGTTTCTTTTTCTCTTTCGAGAAACCGTGGGAGGAACAGTTATGTTTACATTATCGTTATCTTCAAAGTTATTTTCTTCTGAGTTGGTAACATTATTCTGGTAGGAGACTGAATCACTTGAAGAACTGTCCACTGAATCGGAATTAGGAGAATAGAGAGACTCTTCTTCAGCATCAAGTTCACTATTATTCGTAATGTTATTTTGGTCGATTGAAAACTCATTGAGAGCCTCAAAATTTTGCACTGCGTTTTCTAAACAAACATGCTGCTCTTCTGAAATAATAAATTAATTAATATAAAAAACCTACTAACGAAATTGTGCGTTTACTCACCACTATTTTTTTGAATAGTAATAGAATTATTATCATCTGCATTATGTGCGCACTGGACTTTAACAGTGGTAGGTAAGTCAATAAACTCTATGGGCAGATCATTAATATTAATATTATCTTCCCAATGTCCTGAATCAATAGGTTTTGGAAATAATGGTAAAATAGGTAAAATATTTCCACAATTATGATCAATGTTATCAAAATTGTTATTTTCTCTCGGTGAAACTTCTGGCGCGGCAACTAATTCTAATATCAGCTCTGTCCGAGATTTGTAGGAAGCCATCTAAAATAATATAACAACCATAATCTAGTTTCTTTAAATAACACGTTACAAGTCATAAAAAATGTATAATTTGATTCCTTGAAGTTTTTTCAATTAATATTTTAACTTTACTTTTAGTCTGAAAACCATGTAAGTCCCTAGCAGTGAATATTTTAACATTAATTTTAATATGAAAACCGTGTAAGTCTACATCAACAGGTTAAGAATTTCATTTAAAAATTACTGTTAATTAAAATGGGATAAAAACAGTGTACATACCTTCTTAGCTATTTAAGTTTAAATTTAACTGGAAAACATTAACTGTTGCTAGCACTTCTAAGCCAAAACCATCAATTTTTAAGACCGATTACTTACTAACCTCCAAATTAATGTCAGCACGTTTTCACAGACCACTCACAGACATAGAAGGTTTTCAGAACTATTTTAGACTGAGAGACATAGAAGTTCCTCGTGTTTCCACTAGGGACGAGTTCCGATTGGTCTCGACTTAGAATCTATTCACAGTTATGTCGGGACGGATTTATTAAATTATTTCCGTAAAAAACCCCAAATGACCGAAAATCGGACTTAGAAGGTTTTACAGGTAAGCCGACGATATATATATTATATATTTATATATATATATAATATATATATATATATATATATATATATATATAGACAAAGTTTATTAGGGCTGCAGTCAGAAGTTTGGCCGGGATGTTACAGAAACACTCTTTTGACTTTTGGTTTAGCTTTCGGAATTGTTTAATTCCTTTTTCAAGACACTGTAATTAGAAAAATGTGTAAATATTTACAATATATCACAAAATGTCAGTGCAACTTACTAGTCGTTGATATTATTTGTATAAGGCTATGACACTCAACAATAATAACACACATATAAAATATAACATATAAAATAATGGACAAAATACATTTTAAAATTTAATTAAAGATAGTAAAAATTCGTTTGTGACATCTTTTAATGGTGTGTTCTAAATGATTCATAGAGAATGAACAAAAAACAAAAATAGTATGATTAAAAATTAATTAGGAGTTCTTCATATTTTATTAATAGAAAGTAATGTAATAAACCTGTGTTGGTGGTATGCAACCTGTTTTTCCTGCAGGTGTATTACATTTTTGATGTTTTGTCAGTAAATAACAATAAATGTTGCTCAGTTTATCTATATCAGACTTTCATTTATACAAGATGTATTGGATTTTATTTAACACATTTCCAAGAAAACACGTTTAGAATGATTTTTTTCACTTGCCAAAATACAGGAATCCTCAGGATTAATTACAATTAAAGGATAATTAAATTCATGTTTTAAACTTAATGCATATTCTGTCAACGCGCATGCGTTAATTTTTTTGGTTTTTATGTCGCTGCGATGTGAGATCACCCTACTGTGAAAATTACGAGATGATTCACCAATATACTCGATTTTACAATTAGCACACGGTATAGAATAAACAAGGATCCTGTGTCTTTGTGTACAACTTCGATACCGTTTTCACATTCTTAGTTGCAATTTTTAAGCCACTAACATTTTTGAAAATGTTCATTAGCTTAGGTGTTAGGACTGGAATATAGGGTAGGCAACCAAACGTTATTTTAGATTGTGGTAGCTCTGATGTGTTGTCTGTTCATGTCGATGTCAGTTGTCGGACCGGATTATTATGAAAATTTTTTTTTTGAAAAACACATTTTTTGCAACAGTGGACCCCTTGGGCCACCTAGGAATTTAAAAATATGATTAAAGGGGTTTCTACATTGTACTTTCGAGTATCTAATCCTAAATAAAAATCCAGTTGGGTGTAGATTTTACCACCTTATCCCACTATAGCGTTTATTATTATTATTTATTTAGATTTAATTGTACTCGTATTTATTCATAGTTTCTGGTCGCGAAGAAAACACTGTAATTATATTTTGTCAAGATAAGTATTAAAAACCTCGATAAATTAACTTAATTTTTGATAAATTTTTTAGTGCATTCCAATTACATGGAATATTTTAAGAGGTTCCCACTATTGCTTTATTTACTGGAATGTAGTTATGTGGATTTGTTGGATAGTGGCGAATCGAAAAAATCCGGGTTACATTCCGATGAACTCCGAATCATACCATAGATCTATAAAACAAATACCAATGTTTGATAAATGGAAAAAACGGAACTCTATTTTGAATAGGCTTTGTCATACTTGTAGGTAAGTGTATTTGTTTTAATATTAAGCAGTTAAATTCAATGTTTTTTCTTTATCTAGGTAACAATAAAACAGACGCATGATGACAAATTTTATTTATATAAGTTTTTCTTTGATATATTATTTCAGTGCCTCCTTCACTACTATGCACTTTTCTTCATTATCAGTTTCTGTGACCAGGTTCTCTCCTATTGTCTATGATTCCTCCTATAATGAACCTTAAAATAGGCATTCCTGGTGTTGGGAAAAGTTCCCAACACCTTGAATTTAAATTATATAAGAAATTAAAATTTTGAACCTCTAGCGCCATTTTCGTGCATTCCCAATGTCACATTTTTTATGACATAAGTTCCAATCTGTTACACATAGAAAGCCTTCTCGTCATGAGAGGGCGTTGAATGTCTTTAGGTCGCACATGTTCATAAATAAAATAATATAATATGTAATATCAAATAAAAAACACATAAATGCAGGAAATCACTCTCAGATAATTGTAAACTTATATATTCACTTTAAAATAAATTTATTGTGAAAGGGGACTTATCCACCTAGTGGCAGTGTTCAAAAACTGAAAAATGACAACCAGCAAGGAGAGAAGTTGGCGGTGTCATAAATTAAATATATACGGCGTTGTGTCTTCGCCATTAGCCATTTGTGTTTAATTTTTTGACAATTATATGATAAAACGATCTTAAGAACGTGAACTTGATGGAGTCATAGGTGCAACGAAAGGAAAGTATAGTGATAAAAGTGTTCCTGCTACCAGTTACCATTTCTCTGATAAATATAAATTCATATCCATTTGTATTGTAACCCTTTTTTTGTTTGTAAGATGTTTAATGATTTAAAGACAAAAGGAAGGTAATATATAAAAATTACGAGAGAGTAAAACTTTAACATACATTCTTGTTATTTGTTAGTTTTCAATACACTTATAGTACTGTTTATTTATTTTATTTCACTTATACCCAATAAAGTCAATTTTGGAGATTCTGAACCAGCCCCTAACTGGAAATACAATATTAACTCTAGGAGTTTTTATATAGTCGGAGACACGTTTGTCGGTCCTCCACGCTCGAGTGGTTGCAAGGCAGACCAAAGTGGTTTGCTGAGCGACCATTTGATGGTCCTAAAGCGAGCCGGATCTCAAAAAAGACTTTTTGCAAAATTTATAAATAGTTTCATTGAATTTAGTAAAAATCTCTGTTTATCTCTCTCTCTCTCCTACTCAATTAAATGCCAAAAAGGCCAGTCTCGGTTACAATACAAATAAATTAAAACTATACACTTATAAGAAAGGTGTACTCTCTAGTTTTGTATATTTTGACTTGTTGTGTATGCAATTTATTGTTACTGTTTTATTGTGTGCATTTCTCTCTTTATGTTTAATGCAAGTGCGTACCTATATAAAAAATAATTTCTGCAGTTCCTTAATTTAAATACTTGATAATTTAGTTTAATAAAAATTCATATACTCAACATGAATAATCGTCAAGTAACGAAACATGCTCGCACCTCTGCGAAAGCATCTTTTTAACTCGCTTAGAGAAGTGGACAGACGCAAATCTCGATACTGCGATCAGTATATCTCAATTAGCCATTCGGGAAAAAATGGCATTAGATTGTTTTCAGCAATATAATGTAGCTCAGGATGAATTAGAATGTTTTTTAACTGCGGAAGAAAGTTTTGATGATAGGGAACAATTGGAAGAAAGGTTTAGCATAGTGTTATCTCGAATTCAGGATAAAATCTCGGTTTTAAAATCTTCTGTCGAATCTAAAACTGTAGAGTCAGGAACTAAAGTGCTCTCGTCTCCAGCGGTAAAGTTACCGGAAATAAATATTCAAAAGTTCTCAGGAAACATAGTAAAGTGGACTCCATTTTATGATTTATTTGACGCGTTAATTTTAAAAAATCGATGGTGTAGCGCACAAATGTTGTAAGTGCAATCTCTAGGAAAAATGAGTTAAGTATCACGTAAGTATATTGAAAGTTACAGAATTATTGTGCACAAAGGTGGTAGATTGAATCCATAAATTTAATACCTCTAAGCCATATGTCATTCAGTATAAGTACTTCACATTTAAAATCTGTATACGCACTTTTAAAATCACCTACCACATTTGTGCATTCATTTCTTTGACGGCTTATCCAACAAATGGTGTACCTACCAGTTAACACGTGTTTTTTTGAGGTTATACAATATTGTTCACTGAGCGACAAAAGTATTTTATAATAATATGACTTCCAGAGAATTTTCCAAAGAAAAACTGGTACGTTATTTATAGTGAAAGTGAAAGAGACCCTTTTGAAAATTCTAGTGAGTCATACGTACCTTTAGCTTCAGAATTAAGCTCAAATGAGGACCAGATAATGGAAGAGCCCCTTGAACAACACCGGGAAGAGCTTGCACAACAAAACAATAAAACAAAGAAGAGAAAACAAGGTAATAAGTTTTTATGGAAAAGATCCATTGTGAAAAGAAATAGGCTTAGTGGAAAGAAATATATAAACAGGAGTGGAAAAACAGTTGAAGAAAAGAAGCCGTTGCCCGTTAACTGCACCAAGTATAGGTATAAATGTGAAAAACATATTACTTAAGATCTAAGAATAATTTTTTGTCGCGAATACTGGGAAATGGGCGACTGTGATAAGCAAAAATTACACCTGAGTTCATTAGTGACCGATGTTCCAATAAAAAGAAAAAAACAACAAGTAGAACAGTCAAGGCGTAAAACTTCACTTCTAAGGCTTGAGAATTCGAGTGTGTTTAATTTTTTTTGTAAAACATTTAGTATTTCCCATCTGGTAATTGAAACATGTATGAAAAATGTGGTTAATACTTACACCTACACTGGATTTGATAAAAGACCTCATAATGTTACAAAGGAACAAGATTTTATGCTTGTCAAGGAACACATTGATAGTTTTCCATGTGTGGAATCACACTATTTTCGGCGGGATTCAACGAAACAGTGTTTATCTTTAGATTTAAATGTATCCCAAATATACAGATTATACATTGGCTTCTGTGAAAATCGAAACGTAACCAAGGTTTCTAAATTTGTTTATCAGAAGATATTCCACAAATATAGCACAGCATTGGATTTTTTCATTCCGAAAAAGGACCAGTGTTTTAAGTGTAATGCTTATAATACTGCTAAAGGCAAGGAGCCATTAAAAGAGGAATTTGACAGTCACAAAAAGAGAGAAAAAGATGCAATGCAGATGAAATCTGAAGATAAGGAAAGAGCCGCTAGAGAAAAGGACAAACTTTTAGAGCTGCAACATTTGACTTACAAGCAATTTTGTCAGTGCCATTTGCGGAAGACAATGAAATCTTTTATAAGTCAAAGCTAAATGTATATAATTTTACAATTTTTGATACGTCAGATGCAACAGGTCATTGTTATGTATGGGACGAAACCCATGGGAAAAAGGCAGTACAGAAATAGGAACGTGTCTCCTTAAATATTTGTATAGCTTATCGGAAACTGTGACGCATGTTTCTACATTCAGTGATACATGTGGAGGCCAGAACAGGAATAAGTAATACAATAAGTAATAAATACAATTAAACATGGAATTGGAAGTTTTCGATTTAAAATTTATGAAGACAGGCTCCTACTTGGGAGCTGATTCGATGCACGCCACAATCGAAAGAGCAAGAAAGCATAAAAAAATCTATTCTACAAGAAAGTGGTCTGTGCTAATTTCAGCTGCAAGAGTAAAACCTAAACCATACTGTGTACATAATTTAAATTTCAACGATTTTTATGATCTACAGAAACTTGCTGACCTTATGACTCCTAACAATACTCTAAATACAGCCAAAGAAAAGGTTCAGTGGCTGAACATTAAATGGATTCGTTTTGAGAAAAAAGATCCTTTTTTAGTTAAATATAAATACAATTTGTATGATGATACTTTTTTAACCATAGATTTTTCTGATACAAGGAAACTAAGAGGTAGGCCGCAAACTTGGGAGTCATTAGCACTAACCCAAAAATATTTTCACAGATTGCCGGTATCCCAAAAAAGAAGAAGGATCTCTTATCTCTTTTAAATTGTGCTATTATTTCACACGATTACGCTTATTTTATCAATGACATTCCTGTTACTAATGAACCATTATTACCGAACGACAACAAATCTGTTCACCAAAAGATAATTTGAACCAGTTTGCCAAGTAATGGCTATGCACAAAGGTGGTAAGCAACAAAGTATTTAAGAAAAATATTACAAATCATTTTTTTTTAAATGTTATTAATTAAAGTTATATTTGAATGCCTTTTGACGTTATTGAAGATACTTTGTGATTTTCTTAGGAATTCGTGATTTAATAGAAAGGTTTAAACTTCAAACCGCTTTTTCTCAAAACAGTAACTTTAGCACTTACAACATTTGTGTGCTACACCATCGAAATAATAATTTAACTCCCATTCAGATGATGATCTATCTCAAATCATATCTGAGTGGCGAGCTACTCAGACTTATAGATACACTGCCCGTTACGGCAGATAACTTTCAAATTGCTTTAGATACACTTAAAAATAGATACACTAATAAAAATTTGTTGGTAAAAAGTTTATTACGTGATTTATTTGAAGTAAAGCCAATTCAAGGTAACTCTCAAGTCCATAAGCAACTCGGGGAATTTTATGTTTCAGTAAATAAGAGTTTTCAGTCTCTTAAAAATTTAAATTTGTCTCACGAACAGTTATTAGATTTGACACTAATATATCATTTAGAAAATAAGTTAGATTTCTCTACGAAAAGAAGTTTGGAATTTTAAAATAACTCTTATAGTACAGTAACTCTGAAACAATTTTTAGAAAGCATAGAAGCTCGCTGTAATCATTTAGAAAATTTAGAATCTCGAGATAAAAATAAGTCTTTTAGCTCTAAACCGATGAAGGCGACTCATACGTCGGTACACGACGCGATACCCTCTAATAATACTCCTGAACCTAGAAACTCTTCATGTTTTTTTTGTAAAAAT